GGTTTTAGGGCGGGGGAGGAGATGGCTCCTCCCCGCCGGGCGCTACCCCACTTTAAATCATGTCCCCGCTCAGCTCCGCCGTCGGGGGGTCTGAGGGTCCGTCCCCCCTCCACCCCCACCCCCCCTCGGGAAGGTGGGTGCGTGCCTGTTTTGATGCCGGCTGCTCTCCCCTCCTGCAGGTACTGGGACGATTTCCACGCCTGCACCCTCACAGCGCTCACCGATTGCCAGGAAGGAGCGACAGACCTCTGGGAGAAATTGAGACGGGAATCCAAAAACCTCGATTTCCAAGGCAGCTTATTTGAACTGTGCGGAGGCGGCAGCGGCGCGGCACCGTCCCTCCTCCCGCCGGCCTTGCCCCTGCTGCTGGCGGCTCTGTGGGCCGCGCTAGTGACCTGGCTGCCTTTCTAGGGGGGGGGGCGAGCACACTCACACCCACACCCTCTCCATGTGCTGGATCTATCGAGGAAGTGTCCATCCGTTGCTTTGGGGACGTTGTGCTTTTCTGTGGTTGATGATGATGATGGTGGTGGTGGTGGCTGCTGATGGTGAAACACCCATGTAGGACTGTGGAAGCGTTCTCCCTTTTTTTTTTTTTTTTTTTTTTTTTTTTTTTTTATTTGCCAAATGTTACCAAACAGGCAGCGGCGCGCAGCCCAAATCGGACCTCAGCTTTACTATCGCTTCGAATCAAAAATAGGGGAAAAAAAAAAACAAAACAAACTCGAGCCCTCGTTGTGCAAAAGCAATCTCAGGAACGGCTCTGGGCCACCTAATGCTAAGGTTGTAATCGGCCGGGATACCTCCCGGCGGGCCACGGGCTCCTCTAAAAATGTGGCAGTGTGAGAGGCGAGAACAAAAACGCAGGCAAAAAGAGGCACTGGCGATGAATCCAAGGTAGATGTCCACGTGTGAAGCATATGGTGAATAATTCACAATCTCTCATCTTTCCTCCACAGTCGCTTGTTTTTTGGTCATTCCACTGCGAAAAAAAAATATATATAAATAAAAAAGAGCATTTTCCTCGAGAGGAAAAGAAAGCGAGCAAGCGAGAGAGGGAAACGAACAGTAAAGGAAGGAAGGAAGGATGAAAGGACAGAAGGAAGGAAGGAAAGAGCAAAAGAAAGAGATGTGTCTGAAATGCCCGGAGGAGTGAAGGAATGCTGCTAACAGATCTCTGAGAGTTTACCTTTACTTGCTGTTCGAAGGCATCTTTCCGAATTCACTGCCTTTAATTTTTTCCTCCTCTTTGTTTTAGATGTTACACATACCAGTAAAATATCCAACCGTAGAGATCACAAAAAGGGGGCTTAAATGTAAACGTAAAGAAAAACAAAAAAAAAACAAAAAACAAAAAATACCAACAACAGAAAAAAAGATTTTGAAAAAAAGCCTTGATTTTAAAAGAGAAGAAAAATGTAATTTAAACAAAAGTTTATTATAAAGTCAATTCAGCAAAAAAAAATAACAAAAAAAGATTTGCTACAAAGTATAGACAGAAGTATAAAATAAAAATTATTGTTTGAAATGAGGGTGTCGTCCTTTTTATAAAATATGCCTAGACTGTCTTGAAAAGGACAGGGCTTTTAAGGCAAGGAAGGCTAAAGCCCGAACCAAGCCCTTGATGAACATGGCAATTACAGTTCAAACAAGGACAGGGCAGCAGAATTGGTTTGTCTTAGCCTTCTTTTGTTTTTTAATCTTCTTTTTTATTATTTATTTATTTATCGAAAATATGCTATAATTCGTCCCACACTCCTCCCGAAACCCAAAATCTTAACACCCCGTCTCCCAGCCGCCCGGAGCCGGAGCAGGAGCCCCCTCGGGGGCAGCCGAAGGAGCAAGGGGAAGGGGGGGACGGGGTATTGATTTCGCAGCAGAAGCTTCTCTAACCTCGGCTATTTATAGGCGCCTGATGCCTTTATACACATCAAAGAGTAAACACGTCCTTGTTACTTATAAGGCGAGAGCCCAGCTGGCGACCGGGGGTGGGTGGGTGAGTGGGTGATGGGGAGGTAAGGGCCGCGAATTGGTTTGAGGTGATTTATTCCGGTGGGGAGCCGTCGCCTGTGCAATGGCTCTCCTCTGCCAATGTGTAGGGTGGCAGGGTCTCTCTCTCCTTCGCCCCTTCTCCCTGCTCCCCTTCCTTCCCAAGGTCTGCAATGCAATGTGTAAGCAATAGCAAATGTAACAGTTCATAAATCAAACAGTGGGTCGCAAGCCAATCTGCATTTCCCAAACGGATTGAATCCCAGCAACGAATGCGCTCAGGAACTGGAGCCAGGCGCCTTTACCACTGGAAGCAATGTTGATTTTTTAATGACAAAATACACTGGGGGGGGGAGGGGGGACTTTGCAGGGCTCAGCATCGCTTCGGCAGACACAGGTCTGCTTGCATTTCGTTTTTCTTTGCCCTCCCCCTAGCCTCAACCCCCACCACCC